ATCCCAAACCTAGGGTTTAGGGTTTAGGGTTTAGGGTTTAGGGTTTAGGGCTTAGGGTTTAGGGTTTAGGGTTTAGGGTTTAGGGTTTAGGGCTTAGGCTTGTACCGGAAAACCTCAACTCTCAAAGGAATGATTGGAACAAAAAAACCCAAACCCAAAACCCAAAACCCAACGCCTAAAACCCAAACCCCAAAACCCGAAACCCGAGCACGAAACCCTAAATGCGGACCTGAACCTGATCTAAGGCAATGGGAAGCAGCAGTCATAAACCCTGACCCTAAACCCCAAACTTTAAACAATAAGCCCTGAACTTAAACCCTAAATCCTTAAACCCTCAACCGCCTAAACCTAAATCCTTAAACCCTAAGCCCAAAACCCCAGGCTGGTCTTCATTTGGCCGCTGACTCGCATCATCAAAAGCCTAGTCGAGGAGTCTGAGTGTCCTGAACAGAGTCCTCGTGTTTCGGCTTTGGGGGTTCCGGTCTGGGGTATAGGCTTCACGGATGAATTCTAGGGTTGAGGGATGACTTCGGGTTTCAATGTGAGAGTTTAGGGTTTAGTATGGGGTGTTGTAGGGATGATATAGGTCACACAGGTTCCTTTGTTGTGGTATGCTGCGTGCCCTGGTGTTCTCAAGATCTCAAAAGCGATGTCTAAGTGTTTTCAAAAGTCCCCAAAGAATGTATGACAGGTAGAAGCGCACGTGGTTGCAGGCTTCGATGTTCACTCGCGTACCAACTGCAAGGAAGGGAGGTGTCAGAAAAGCCAGGCGTAAAGCCTGAGCGCGATGGCATACCTAAACCCCAAAACATAAACCATAAACCCTCTACCGAAGAATCCCCAAGCCCAGAAACCGTAAACCCGGAACCCCAGCTATTCTGGGAGAAAAGGGGTTCAACCTAAACCCTAAACCCTAAACCCCATTCTGGGAGAAAAGGGGCCAAAACCCTCAACTTCGAAGATGCTCGGAAGCTCCTTCCTTGCGCAGGACAAGGAAGCGCGGATCAACGAGGCACATGTCGGTGGCCCGTAGTGGCTCTGAGCTTCTCATGAGGGCTTCAGCGCCTCCAACCGCGAACCTTAAACCCTAAACCCCGAACAATAAACCCCTCAAGACCAATGCTAGCGAATTTCAGCAAAAAACTCCTTGAATTTGGGCGGATCCTTGATTCTCTTAAAGCCAAGCTTCCGAGTCCTCTGAGTTGTCTGCAGGTCATGAAGATGATGGGCATGCCTGCAGAAGCCATCACCTTTGGCTGGTATCTGACCTATGGGACATCATGGCTGCATTGTGGGGTTTCGAATTGTGTACAGATTGGAGATACTCCGGCGGCCTGCCGGGTGGGAACGCATGGGTGGTACGGGCTTTCTTGGCTGCCACGTGTGCTTCTTGAGAATGTGCCATCGAAGCATCGTGTCAGGATCCAGCAGCTTGTCAGGAACGAGTTTGCGCTGTTCCTTTGCCGTCATGCTCACAGGGTGCGTCGAGAGCTGTCTTGCCACTAACACGGTCTCGGCATGGACGTTTCTTCAGCTGATGGCCATGGCTTTGTGTATGTGTGTGTGTGTGTGCGGTGCCGTCGCCCTTCGGTGCGACCTGCCCGCCGAAAACCACTGGGTCGTATCCAGGGGTGCGCTAGGGACAGGCGCAGTAAAGCACCTATGTGCGCGTTCAACAAGCGCCGAAGGCTTGAGTGTCGCAAAGGACGTTGGAACGGCTCGGGACACTGTCGATCCGATTTTGTGGCAGGTATCGGCAAGGAAACGCGATTCTAATGCATGATTTTTCGAGGCATACGGGAATCCCAGTCAGAAGTAGTCGAGCTAAACCAGATTCGGCGATGGTGGGCAGACTCTGACCAGGCATCGCGCACTGCGGGCCTTGCCTGTGGCGCTAGGCCGTGGTGCTGACTGAACCCTGACAAATCTGGAAGACGGTGCTTCACTATGCTGTGTGCAGGGTGAAGAAACACCTTAAGCTTGAGCTTCGCTGCAAATATTGGCGATAGCCATGCTGGTCGACCAGTGGATGAGGCAGCTCTTGGCGCTGATGCTGTTAAGATAGGGGCCTTGATAGTTAGAATCGGGTTTTGGGCCCATTATACTATAATTATTGTAATAAGGAACCCCACCCAAAACCCCATTGTAAGTATCAAGATATTTCTGCCCTGTTCCCGCTCGTCGGGTTAGGCCACCGCTGAGGCCTGGTTCTGTGCTGCGGCGGTCGCCGCAGCGACCTGCCGGCGCGCCGCAACGTTGACTCTTAGGGTTTAGGGTTTAGGGTTTAGGGTTTAGGGTCTTCATCTTCATCGTCGGCAGTCTTTGGAAGAGAGCGTGCGGAAGTTGAGATGGTTGCAATGCTCATGTTCCGTGGGGAGATGATCTGGGTGATCTCCATGGCATGCTTTATCCTCACAGCAACAGAAGTCGAGGGTCCGACATTACGGCTCCTACTGCTCCGGCGGCCTCCATGCCAAAAGACACCGTGGGGTACTGGGACTCGTTTGGAGACATCGCGGGAGGCTTTAGGAAGGACACTCAAGCGCTGATAGCATAGCGGCGTCTCTAGAACTTGCTGGCATGTCGTGGGCATGTGCGTGAAGACGACAGTCTCTGCAGTGCAGTGCATGACGCGCTGCAATGCCGCCATACAGCAGTTTTTACAGCCAGCAGACAACACCTGTGTCAACAAAGGGGTTGGCACTAAGAGTGAACGCGGCCCAAGGCTGCATCGCTTGTCAACAAGGAGCGAAGTCTCTCCCAGGACGTCGGATGGATCACATCTTGTAATTGTGTTGTTGTCTTATTCTGTGCGTCCAACCAGGCCAATATCGCAAGAGGTTTCTCGGGACTGAATCTGAATTTGCCGATTGACCTGCCCGATGCATGCCACGTCGTGCCTCAAACACCTCTGACTAGTTGCAGCTGTGAATAACTCCATATGGGTGGTTGTCAAAATTATGGTCCCTTTTTGGGTCCTTATTATAATACGGCACCTATTATTTAGGGTACCCCAAATGTGACCATAAAAAGAACAACTACCCAAAGGATTCCGGAGCCAAGTATACAGCCCAGGATTCTTTGGCTGATCCCTGCGGCCCTGATGACCATCATCTGCTGGGGGTCGGTTCCTGGGCCTAGTGCGGATGTTGGGAGGCCGGTGGAGTGAGGGGCGTATCGGAGTAGGCAAACTTTCTCTTTTTGGCATCCGGGAGTTTTTTGCCTTGTGACTTCAAGAGCATGCTAACATCTCTGATCGACTGCTCTTGCCTACTTCTCTTGCTTCCATGCCTGATGTTGCATGATTGTCTCATCCGGTGTTACCAAGGCGACCTGTACAGAGGATCAAGCCATGAAACCGCCATGTCGAGGCCAAAAACTGGTCACACAAACCTGTCGTGCAAGGTCACAAGTCTTGTTTGAGTGCTGTCTTGCTTTCGTTTATTTCGGGAAGCCGAGGTGTTTCAGCACAGCAACAAGTTCGTGGTGTTCCTCTTCTTCTGGCTCTTCGGAATGTGCGCCAGGACCTCAGCTGGAAAAGGTTGTCTCCACTGTGCTGAAACATTGTTGCCTCCATGCTGCCTCTACTGCAAGCTTGCGCTCTTGCAGGGAGGCACTTGGGTTCCCGGCGTAATGTTTGGTGTGTGGCGCTTCTGAATCTTCCAGCGTATGCACTGCTGGATCCGTCGTGACAAAGTTGCAAAGCAATCCCTTCGCAACAGCGACTTCACCGGATGCGCAAACACCACAAAGTGCAAGAGCTCGAAGAGTCTGCAGTAGTCCTCGGTCAATCTCCTTTTTGTTTTGGTCGTCACAGTCTAAACCCTAAACTCTACATCCTAAACCCTAAAGTCTAAACCCTAAACCCTCAACCCTACAGTCTGAACCCAATTTGCTAAACTCTGAACCCAAAACCCTGAACTCTAAGTGCACTAAGCTTTGATGGGTTTGCAGCCCCTTCGACTCCAGCTTCCTGGCACTTTGAAACTTCAGAACGCGCCGGAGCAACCGAAGCTCGGGTTTAGGGTTTAGGGTTTTGGGGTTTGGGGTTTAGGATTTTGGGGGTTTTGGGGTTTAGGGTTTTGGGGGTTTTGGGGTTTAGGGTTTTGGGGGTTGTAGGGTTTAGGGGCGTGGGGTTTGGGGGTTTCAGGGTTTAGGGTTTACGGGTTTAGGGTTTTGGGGGTTTAGGGCTTAGCCGCCTTACCGAGGTCATCACGCTCTGCTCTTTCATCTCAGTGTTCTTTGCCACGGCGAAGATGGCCAGTGTCGTGGGAGCACTGCACCCTCGCCTGCACTTGGAACGCCGTTATAGATGATACAGGAGTTTAGGGTTTATGGGTTTAGGGTTTTGGGTTTGGGGTTGTAAGAATGAGGGGAGTTTCGGGAAGGGCGTATTCTGTGCTGGGCCGCAGAGTCTATGCAACAGACACCGCGTCGCGCGCAATGGCAAACCATGTTTTTCTGAGCGGAACTTCGCAGGCTTGAGCTGTTTCGTAGCAGAGGTGCAGCTGCAGCAGCTTAATCCGTGAAATTGTCCTGACTCTTGCCGACAAGACAAGCTGCTTCTAGCAGAAGGCAAAGGCCAAGCACCCCCATGCCCTAAGCCCTAGGCCCTAAACCCTAAACCCTAAACCCTAAACCCTAAACCCTAAACCCTAAACCCTAAAGCCAATATTCTCCGATGGGGCACTACTAAGCGCGGCAGCTCTCCCCTCTTCTGAGTCTCGACATCCCTTCAAACCTGCCCAGGATCTTTTTTCTTCTGTACTTTCCCTACATGCCCCTTGGCCTTCGCATGGGGCCTTCCCCTTCGAAGGAGATCTGAATCCAGCGGTTTAGGGTTTAGGGTTTAGGGTTTAGGGTTTAGGGTTTAGGGTTTAGGGTTTAGGGTTTAGGGAGGGGCTTATATCCCCAAACCCGCCACAGCTGCAAGCTTGTTGCTTCGGGTTGAGCTTTCGGGATCATCGTGTTGTCGACACTTGCATCAGAAGGGCTTTCCGATATATTCGGATTGAGGTCATCTTGCAAGGTATCGTCGAGCTCCGACCGAACCAACTGGAATTCCCCGTGCTGGTTTTATGCTTGTGTGTACTCAAAGGTTTGTCACGGACTCCGGCGCGTCCGTCAACACGAAGGTCTTCGCATCACTGTCGCCGCCGGTGGCGCTCTCCATAGGCGATTTCTTGAGTAAGTTATCAGGATGTTGGGATACGGTGGATGACATAAATCCTGCATTACCCATAATAAGGAATAGACTTGGCTCGACCATGATTCCCATAGTTTGGGGTCCTTCAGGAAATGCAGAATTTCTATAATCAAACGTATGTTAGGGTCTTGGATGGTATTGGGATATTTTGGGTTTAGGGTTCAGGGTCGAGACCTGTATATGCTGAGTTACATATCCAAGAGGCATCCCAATCTTCAGAGTCGTGAGGTACAGCCTCCCCCTGAACCTCAAATCATTACCCTAAACCCTAAACCTTCAACCCTTAAATCATTAACTTGAAGCCACGTAGCTTCAGTTCCTGAGGTTTTTTGGACTGCCTAGATTTGTGAAGCCCCTCCTCGCTCCCCTAAACCCCTGAACCTTCAAGCCTAAGCCCTGAATCCTAAACCCCCGAAGTTTGTTAGGGAGAGGATCCCAGCCACCAACCTGTCGCAGGTGCCGGCCTCATCGCTCAACTCGAGAGTGCTGGTGAAGGAGCCCATGGGAGAGATACGACCCCTGATTATGACATTGTATGATATTGTATGATATGGTACTGTAATGTAATGTACTGTAATGTAAGGTAATGCAATGGTATGGTATGGTATGATACGATATGAGACGGTTGTGAGCTGTGTATTGTATAGTGTTGTAGTGTATTGTCCCCCTCGCTGAGCTGAGTGAGGATGAGTGTAGGGATGCGAATGTGAGGGCCTTTGAGCAACGGGCTTACTTGTCAGGGGTCTAAACGAAGCTCAGTGATGTGATGTCTGCCTGGCAAATACCATGTTCATGCACAGTGACTGTACGATTTTTTTTGGGGGGGGGGGGAGCAAGCATGGCCAGCTATCAACATCAGGCTGTTGAAGCCACCAGTGCTGAGATGCTAGACCGTCGATGACCCAGTGTATCTCGCGGCCATGGCATTGACATTGCAAACTGATAGAGGTTTGCTTGCTGTTCCTGTCCCTTGACTGTAGACCGCCGATTTTGAGCATCCCTTCCAGAAGCAGTAGAGTACGGATTCTTAAACTCTTATTCTCTAGGGAGGATGTTTTACCAGTCGTACATGAAGCGAAATCTCTAAAGCTTTGCTTAGAGCCCTTGAAGTTCTCAATTGGGAGGGGTGCCTTTCTCGGCGCTCAGCGCTCCTGGATCGGGTAAGGCCCAAGCACCGAAACACATTCTCGCCGGGACCAATACTGGTCCCTTGAAACCCCTAAATCTAACCCCCTGACCCATAAGCCCCTAAACGCCAAACCCCAAACTCCAAGCCCTAAACCCTAAACCCTAAACCCCAAAGCCCAGACTCCAAGCCCTAAGCCCTAAACCCTAAACCCTAAACCACTAAACCCTAAACCCCAAACTCCAAGCCCTGAAAGTGGGTGGGGCCCAGGGTCCAGGGGAACTTAAGGGAGCCCCTCCCCTGCCTTGCGAGGCGAGGGAAGAACAAAAAGGTGGCTTTTTGGTATGGAGTTTAGGCCTAAACCTCAAAAGTTTTGAAAGGGTTTAGGGTTTAGGGCTTAGGCCGAAACCTCGAAAGAAGGACAAGCCTTCAAGAGACAGGCTTTGAAAGCTCATCGCCGCGGCCTTGTCAGAAGATATTGTCGCCTTCGCGCTATTTCACGGCAAACCCTCAACCCTAAACTTTGTGCTAAACCCTGAACCCTAAACCTCTAAGCCCTAAACCCTTAACCCCAAACCTTAAGCCCCCAAGCCCAGAGCCCTTGAAGTTCTTAACTCGGGCGTTAAGGGCTCCTTTAAGGGATCTATAGGATTCCCTTAAGGGTTTTGGGGGCTTTCGAGCTTTGGGCTGCTCCTCAACTCGCCAAAACCCTATTCTAATTATTAAGGCGCCTAAAAACCCTGAGCCCTTATAGTAGCCTTTCTAGAACCCTTTAAAGAACCTTATTAAAGGAACCCCAACGCCCTAGTCTAATTATTAAGGCCCCTAAACCCTAAACCATTATAGTAGCCCTTACAGAACTCTTTTAAGGAACCCTACAAAAAGGAACCCCGAAACCCTATTCTAATTATTAAGGCCCCTAAACCCTAAACCATTATAGTAGCCCTTACAGAACTCTTTTAAGGAACCCTACTAAAAGGAACCCCGAAACCCTATTCTAAGTATTAAGGCCCCTAAACCCTAAACCCTAAACCCTAAACCCTAAACCCTAAACCCTAAACCCTACGTTAACTCGGAGGAGTGCGGTTCTCCACCCTCAACGAGATGATCGACAACTCCTCCATGGCCCAAGTTCTGGCACCTGGGCTTTAGGGGCTTAGGTTTAGGGTTTAGGGTTTTGGGGTTTTCGGCTTCTTGGGGTTTCTATGAGGCTTCAGGATTTCTAAGAGGGTTTAGAGCTTGGGTTTGGTTTCTGGGGTTTCTAAGACAGGTTTTCGGATTTCTAAAGGGCTTTTATTGGCTCTGGGGCTGTAAGGGTTTGGGGTTGGGGGGTTTAAGGCTGGGGCTTTAGGGACTGCAGGGTTTCGGCCCCGAGATTTCAGATCACCCAGGCGATGCTGCTGGTCGACACGCTACTCTATGCTGCACTCGCATGGTACCTCGACAAGGCCCGGAAGAAACCCTAAACCCTTAGCTTCAAGCCCCAAGCCCCACACAACGGGACCCAAGGGGTGTAGGGTTTCGGGTTGTGACCTAGGGTCCGTTTCCCTAGCACGAACGAAGCCAACAGCAATTCTTCCTTCAGAAGATCATCCTGTTCAGAGTGGCCTCATGGTGCAGACCTTATATGTCACAGTGGGAGCGTGTAGAGCAGCCACCCACCCCAAACTCTAAACCCTAAACCCCCTAAGCCCTAAACCCCCTAAACCCCCTAAACCCTAAACTCTAAACCCTAAACCCTAGAAGCAACCAAAAGATCCAAAAAGACCCGAACTGCAAATCCTGGGCCCTAGGTCTCCCCCCATTGCCCCCCCCAAAGTCCCCAAAAGAAAGGCCTTGAACGCCCCAATCCTAAACTAAAACCTCCCATGAATCCCCTCAAAAATTCAAGGTCATTCAACGGAAAAGCCTTGAACACTTCCACCCTAAACCCTAAACCCTAAACCCTAAACCCTGAACCCTAAACCCTAAACCCTAAACCCTAAACCCTAAACCCCTTACGCCCTAAACCCCCTAAACCCTAAACCCTAAACCCTAAACCCTAAACCTTAGAAGCAACCAAAAGATCCAAAAAGACCCGAACTCCAAATCCTGGACCCTTTGCCTCCCCCATAGACCCCAAATTCCCCAAAAGAAAGGCCTTGAACGCCCCAATCCTAAACTAAAACCTCCCAGAAACCCCTCAACACTTCAAGGCCATTCAACGGAAAAGCCTTGAACACCTCCACCCTATAAACCCCAAGACCCAAAAGCCTTAAAACCCCAAGAACCAAAAGCCCTAAAGCCGCAAGACCCCCTAAAGCCCTAAAGCCCCAAGACGCTAAAGCCCTAAAGCCCTAAAGCCCTGAAGCCCTAGAATCCAAAACCCCGATAGCTCATCAACCTAAACCCTAAACCCCAAACCCTACATCCTAAACCCAAAACCCAAAACCAAAAACCCTAA